TACAGAACAAAAGTGAACAGTGAAGTGCAGCTATATTCAGATTGCTCCTCAATGTTACATAGAGGAAAAACTCTTCTACAACCTTACGTTGTTGTATATTTCCCTCAATTCATACAACTTGGGCAAAAAATAAAAAGCATGAAATCTTAAGCATGCCATTGTACTCTCAGAGTCCTTCTCTCCCTCTTTCAAATAGCTCCATGCACTTCTTCACAATGTTTTGTTTAACAACTCAGCCAAAGAATCGGTGTCATTTAATGAAAAAAGACAAATGGAAGGAGGATTTGATATTGTGAATTTGGTCACTTTCCCAAACAAGTCCTTTGAAAAAGTGCAGGTTGGCCGAGTGGATCTCAATGCTCCTGAAGGCAAGGAACTCTTCATAAATGAGGCTATGATTGTGTGGCACCAGCACTTTAACCAGGTATGGATTCTGGGGTCCTCCTGGTAGACTGTTTCTTCTCTTACCAGTATCAGTTCATATGAAAAAGTGTCATTTTGACTAAGCTGCCCTAGAGATTTTCTTGAAGCTGCAGATGAATGTTGGATGCTGAACAGCCAAACAATTCTGCAATACAGTCTCTGGCATGTATCTTAGCAAGGACAGGGATGGGAAGGGGGAGAGGGACAGGAATGGGGACCAGGACAGGACTGATGAAGATGGAGGTGCAGGGAGGTGCAGAGGGGGGGAGAGAGAAAATTTATTACACCATAGGAGTGGAATCAGCTCACAACCCCACCTTGGGCAACTATATTCAATAGCTACCACAGTTCCAAACATCAAGGTTTTGCTAAACATTCCTGTCACGTTGTACTCGTATCCATGTGCTCAGATGAGATTCCAAGGTGCTCACGGGAGATGGAGGGCTTTGGTGGGAATGGTTGCTCGGACTCGGTGGAGGGGGAGTGGATATCTGAAACAACTATGGCTCAGAGTTCTCACTCTGATATTGGGTCTGGCTAACCCAGTGATACAGCCTGAGCCAGCTCTTGATCAAAGCACTTCAAGGACAACCACAGAGCCCCCCTCCCCCCAATTGTGGGAAAGAAGCCGGTGGAGAACAGGCTGGGGAGGGGTTCTCGGGAGGTGAACTTGACACCACAGGAGACGAAGATGCAAGGGCCCGTCGACATACCTGCCAGCTAGACCAGTTAGGGATTCAATGGGAAGAAAATAGGCATGCTTGCATCCATAGAGGGGCCAAACCTGCAGAGACTGGCCCAAAAGGGTTCATAAGCAAATCTTTGAGTGAAGGGGGCAGAGCAAGGGGTTAACTTCCCCTCAGGTGTGAGTGTTTTGAAACTCATGAATACTTTGTTGCTGTGAGGAATAAAGACTCCTCTAATGCTAGCTGAAGTTCCTGTCTCATTTGGGAGGGGAAACGTAGCTAATGACAGTTGCTATTTAAAATGACGAATCAACAGAGAAAGGGGCTGGAAGCAAAAAGGAATAATTGGAAGCACCAATATGGTTGCATACACAGGGATTCAGATCCAGTCTCTAAAAGGATGCAGTGCTGCTCTCTTGACACCCCAAGAATTCCCAGCTCTACCACAACTGGCCTTCTGCTGATGGTAGAAGTTGTGGTGTGGAATTGCACTGTGTTAGGAGTGCTGGGAGAGTGTTCTCACTTGTTTCTTCTGAATGGATAGGTGGCTCCTGTTTCTCTCTGCAATGAACCTTGTCTGCCTGGTACTCAGGAGAAAGGAAAGGAAGGGGAAAAGTTCTGCTGCTACAATTGTGATCCATGCCCAGAAGGCAAGATTTCCAATAAGACTTGTAGGTCAGCTACTCCTCCAACATTCCCATCAGCCATGCTTGAACTTTCAGATGAATGCTCTGAAAAGGACTTTCCTTTCTTTTCCAGATATGAAAGAGTGTTTCAAATGCCCAGAAGATCAGCATCCAAACACAGACAAAGATGGTTGCATCCCCAGAGTTATAACTTTTTTATCTTACAAAGATACTTTAGGAATGAGCTTAGCTTTAGCTGCAATTTCCTTCTCCCTGATAACAGCAGTAGTGCTTGGAACTTTTCTTAAGTACAGCGATACCCCCATAGTCAGAGCCAACAACCGGGAGCTCGCATACGTTCTCCTTCTCTCCCTCATCCTCTGCTTCCTCTCTTCTTTGCTGTTCCTTGGCCAGCCTGGCACCGTGACCTGCCTTCTCAGACAACCAGCCTTTGGCACCATCTTTTCTGTGGCTGTTTCTTGTGTCCTGGCAAAAACCGCCATAGTTTCCCTTGCCTTTAGAGCTACAAAGCCTGGGTCCAGGCTGAAGACATGGGTGGGGAAAGGGCTGGCTTACTACATTGTTCTCCCATGCTCTCTCATTCAAGCCTGCATTTGTACTGTGTGGCTGGCAACCTCTCCACCATTCCCTGATGTAGATATACACTCTGTGCCTGAAGAAATCATTGTGCAATGTAATGAGGGCTCATCTACCATGTTCTACTGTGTTTTAGGCTACATGGGCCTGCTGGCCATTTCCAGCTTCGTGGTGGCTTTCCAAGCCCGCAAATTACCAGACACTTTCAATGAAGCCAAGTTTATCACCTTCAGCATGCTGGTGTTTTGCAGCATGTGGGTCTCCTTTGTTCCCACCTACCTGAGCACAAAAGGCAAAGACATGGTGACTGTGGAGGTCTTCTCCATCTTGGTCTCCAGTGCTGGGTTACTGGGCTGTATTTTTTCCCCCAAATGCTATATCATTGTGATGCGACCTGAACTGAACTGCAAGGAGCAGCTAAGACAGAGATAGTATCAAAGTATGTGTCTGTTTTCCTCTTGTTATACTGTCTAGTACATTGTGTAAAGCTGTTACAAGTATGCATTGTTACTAACTTACTATTACATGAATATCTCTCCAAACTACTGTCACTCCCCAGCTTGCTCCACAATGGATATTTAATGTGACCAAAAATGTGTAGTGGAATGTCTTAGTTCATGCTGAAAACATAAAAGGAAAAAGTACTAATGAGAAATAACAGGTTAGATCATGACATGAAAGAAAGATGTTGAGATGTATGACATAGTCTGCAGAATCAGAGGAGAATGCCTCTTTTAATGTTTTTGTTCCTTGAGGTGACTCACACCAATGACTCAATTCCTTGTGTACAGCAGAAGGATTGCAGTTCTGATTCCAGGTCCCCAAACACAGAAAGACTGCATATACATTTCTGAAAATGTATTTTTTAAAATTAACTATACATGTTCCCTGTACATTTTCTAACTTCATCTTCACTTACACATACATTTCATTTCAGAATTTAGTCCTCAAATTTGTTCACAATCAAGTAAAGAGGACATCTTAAGTTTTAGTGTTTGCTCCCCAAGAAACTGTGGTTTGTGGGGAAAGTCATTTAGGGTCTTTATTTATTTTTACTTTTTTGTTGAGTTTAATTGTTAATTTTGAAACATATAACATTTTTATAACATTTTTAGGGGGAGGTAATAAAAAAGCACATATAAGTTAAAAGAAAATTAATATGCATTATGTCATTGAAAATGTTTTCATGTGTATTAAGTAAAGTTTCATACAAAAAAGGAAGTATTCAATCCAATGAACACAAAAATTGTTTACTTTCAAACACATTCCTGAAAGCTTCAGTTATTGAGCAGTGTAGAAATGAAAATAATCATTACTGCTCTCATCCTCATGATTGCAACTGTGTCTGAGCTAGGAAAATTGCTCAGTGTTGGGATGCACCAAAGTTGATGCATTGAGAGAAAAAACATAAAAGGTCAGAATGAATGAAATGAAATTTATTATGTGACTTGTAATCTGAGAAAAGCTTCCATTAAATCTCAGCTTTTCTTCTCCTCCTTCTTCCGAGCAAACTAAGACAAAGGCTTGATTGGGTTAAGGCTGACCAGCTCAGCTGGATTAGTAGGATGAAATCAAATCAGTTTATTGCAGAAGTCAGTAATGAGAGAAAAAGACTAGGGAGAATATAGGCCTTTAGCAAAAAGTGGCTTAATGATAAGAACCTGATTCTAAACCAAATGTCCCTCCTCTCTCCTGAAATTGGAAAGAGCAAACCACACATTCAAGATGGACTCCCCTGTTTTAGGATTGATCACTTAGAATGTCGCATGCTTCTCACCTGGTCTGCTTTCTTAATGCAATGCCACATACTCAGAGTAATGATTTCAGAACTGTCCCTGCCCATTAAGCATCACTGAACTTGATGGGAGCAAAGAAAAGTTGACTGAATTGGGACCCTTTCAGTCAGACAAACTTAAAGAGCTTTACTCTAGAAATGACAAATTTAGAAGAAATTGAGTAGCTCTAATGATGAGGCAAGATGTAGCCCAGCAAGTTAGGGAGTATTTCAAAATTTTATTTTAAAAGCATTGAAAAGGCCATTTTGAAGAACTTGCATTCATAAACTCACATTAAATCAGAGATTACTTGATGGCGCATAACAACAATATGGCATCCAACATGCAGTCCAGTTCCTGGACACTGTGAGCTAAGAAACACAAGCTTTGTCCACATATTTTCTCTTACTTTTAACTGGAAACATAAGTCATCTTAGGTGCCACTGATTGTAGAAATTTGGGCATAAATCAAATGAACTGGGAGACAGAAAGGGCTGGTGAAATTCTCATCTTCCCCAAGCATTTAAACCATTTAGACAGGATGCAGAAAATCTTAAATAGTACAGGACTGTGGTGTTACTGAAAACTGCTGGTGAACAGTCTTGAGGTTACTTTCTGCTACTTCTTTTGGATAGCGTTCCTCAACTGGGGGCCCCATGGATGTGTTGAACTGTGACTCCCATTATGTCCTCTATTATGTCCACTGCCATCCTCTTCCCAAAATTTGGATGGATGGAACATTATGCTCCAAGAAACTTCTGAACTGCTGCAATGCTTTAAATAAGCCAAAGAACATGACTTCTATTGGTTCTTCAATCTCCAGTTAAGGCAGTTCAGCAGACCACAAAATTTATTTTATATGAATGGGATCCGTCTTCTCTTTATTCAAATACATGGTTTCAGGGACAAAGATGGAGTATATTTGTTCATGTGCTCAGCCTTCTGTGATAAGGGCAGAGGCAGTTCCTAAGAATCCCACATATAAATACTATTTTTAAAAATGGGACAGCCAGAACATAGATGGAGTGATTTTTTGAGAATTATGCATTTCAGCTCTTCGGGTGATATATAAGCAGTTCCTTGTCAGCCTGTTCAGCTGCTGCTGCTACTTGCCAAAGAAACTCAATCTTAATTATAATGGAAATTTTGGGGAGTTGGGTTCAACTGGTTGAATGCCACCATATGGATAGGTGAATCACCCACTCACAGTCCCTTGGATTTGTCTGTACTTAGCCTCAGTTTATTGGCTATCATCCAGTCTATCACCCTGTCCAGGCAATGGTTCAGAATAACCATGGCCTCACCCGGAATTGATGAAACACAGACAGAACAGGGTGCCATTTGGATAGACACCCCAGATAGGTTTTGATATCCCCCAAAGATTTCCTGTAGAAGCTGAAGTGTATGGGACTGGATAGAGTACTGTTGGACCCCTTGCATAGAGCAATGATCTCCCAGCACTAATATCTGGAATCCATCAATCCAAGTAGGATTAGAACCTCTGTACTGCATTGCCTTCAGCTCCCAGCTCAGATCACCAGCCAAAAAGAGATCATGCTTGATGGTATCCAAACCCTTTCAGAGGTCTACAAAGATGAACTAAACTGCACCAGCCCATTTCTGAGCTGGTAGTGGACAAGCAGGACACAATCTCCTTTCCAAAGCATGAATGAAGCCCTGTTGTGCATCTAGATATTTTGTTACATTCAGGAGAGCCTGGAGTTGACCAGCAAACACTAGCCTATGAAAGTTAATCAAATTCTGGGTCCATACTGGGCCTCTTTAAGTGTAGTTTAACTACACCTACCTTTAAAGAGGTCCACACCATCCTTTGTCCATTTCTGACATGCAAACATGTCATTCCATAGTCTAAAACAAAATGTTTCTGATTACAAAAAGTATAAGTAAAATCAGGCCAGTTCAAATGTGCAAAAGAACTGCCTGATTCAGTTTTGCTTCCCCTCTATTGCTTGATTTTAACTTCATGCTCATCTCTTGTGTGGTGTGAGAAAACATTATTTGAGGGTTCTCCTACAATTAAGTTCCCTCTTGCATCTTTGCTTTCTCAGATTGTCCCTTCCCCAGCTCTGAGGTCATTGAGTTCATTTTTTTGTTTTTGTTTTTCATGTGCTGATAAATGGGAGAAATCATTAAGCAAAACACAGTTGGAGAAAATGGGGAAGAGGCAAAGTTATTCCATGAGAAACTAACTTTGTTCAACTGTTGGGTCACTTCCTCAGTGTTTTTGGTAAAGCCGCTGATTCCCAGCAGACATTCACTTGCCGACTGTCCCACTCATGTGCAAAGGACTAAAGAGGTAATTTTCCTATATCATTATGCATGTCAGTATAATCAGTTCACCTGGGAAAAGCTGCAGGATTTTGACAGAAGTGTCAAACACAGTCCATAAGCAAGTTGGAAAGGAGGAATAGAACTCATGCGTTAGAGAGGTCTAGGGGAGGGACAGGAGGAAGGCAGGAGTTAAGGTAACATTCCAGACATGTCTCATGTGACTGCAGCTAAATGTGAAGATGACACATTTCTCTTTGAGAAGTGTTCTGGCACACTTGGAGGACTCTGAGCAGGCATTTCCTGCACATGAATCAGGATAAGGGAAGAGGAAGATGTCACAGCTGCTGCAGCATCTTTTTCAGCTGTCTCTCATTGTGTGCAAAAAAGAAACTATTGAGTTTCTTGGGAATGACCCCAACCCTGTTCCTCATGAGTGGTACCAGAGCAGTAGCGTCCTCCTTGATGACTTTGCTTCACACGTCTTTTATCACTTCTCTGATGTTCAGTTCACAGAACCTACTTCTCAGAGGCTCTTTCTAATTACCTAGTAAGAATTCTTCCTCTCTGTATCATCACACCTTGGCCAAATCACCAGCCCATTATATCCAGGAGGAACAGATGCTCAAAGAAAGGCATGGAGGATGGTCCAACCAAGGCCCACTCCTCAATCTCAGTTACTTCTCTTCTGGGAGTTAAAAAACAATACCCTACAACTTTCTTTCCAATCCACAGTCTCACAGGGAGAAAACACTAACACTTAAGATGTGGTATTTATTTGATTGCAAACAAATCTGAGAGCTAAAATCTGAAATGAAATAGGTGAAGATTCAGCCTATCTATTAGAAAATGTAGAGGGTACATATATGGATGATAAAGAATACATTTTCAGAAATGTAATTTCAGTTCTACTGTGTTCTGGACCAGGACTCATATCTGCAATTTTCACACTGTACACAAGAAATTACATTATCAGTATGTCACCTCAAGGAACACAAACATCAAAAGAGCCATTCCTCTCTGATTCTGCAAACTATGT